GGCAGGCAGATGTGTGGCCAGTTTATACAACAGTGTTGGTGCAGAATCCTCCATGTTCTTCACACAGTTGTGTTGTTCGTAGTGGGAGCATGTACATTCTGAATTGCTTGCAGTGTGTCCATTCCCAATTTCAAACAGGTTCTGACTTGCTCAAAATGAGATTTGATACAATCCTGTTCAAGATTGCTCTAATGAATATTAACCTCCTATTAAGGTTCTGGGGCCAAAAACATTTACATTATTTTAAGTAAAGCAAAAGAAGAGTGACTAAAAACACTCTTTGTCTTGCTTAAGAGATTCACTGGAATTTCCATCTAATCATCTATATGAACATCTCAAAACAGACTATTTCTGTAATAGCTTTTTATTTAAATATGATTTACTTTCAGCTTACTTAATAGCTATTTATTAAAATCAAATTTACTTTCAGAAACATCAGATAAAAACAAACAAAGCATAAAATTCTGTTAACCCTACCAATTGTTACTTAACTGAAAATATGTAGCAGACTACACATAGGTATGGGGGAAACATACTGAATTTAAGTTAATTTAAGACAAGTATCTTGAACATACTCTGAATGTGGACTGGAAAATGAAAATTTACCAAATAATTTTGGATTAACTTTTTGTAATCAAACTATTTAATCAAAATGTCAGTATCATATGTAAAATATTTTATGAATATTTAAGCCTCTCTTAGTTTGGCTATTAAGATATAGGGTTCTTGGAGTTGTTTGTAGACAACAAACTAAATATGAGTCAGTAATGTGATGCTGCCACAAAAAAGGCAAACACTATTTTGGGATGCATAAATAGAGGTATCATTTTCAGAAATAGAGTTTCTCATTCCCTCTACTCTGCATTAGTCAGTCTTCACCTGGAATATACAGTGTTCAGTTTTTGGTGCCTAGGTTTAAAAAGGATGCTGGTAATCAGTATAGGGTTCAGAGGGCAACAAAGATGATACAAGGCCTAGAAAATATGTCTTATGATGAGAGGCTGAAAGAACAAGGCCTGTTCAACTACGAGAAACTAAAACTACGAGGAGTCACAATAGCACTCTATAGGTACTTCAAAGGCGGTCACAAAGAAGGAAAAGACCTCTTCTCACTCATTCCAGATTGCAGGACACGGAACAATGAACTTCAAGTACAGTACACAAGGTGCAGGCTAGACACAAGGAAGAATTTCCTGACTGTGAGCAGTATGACAGTGGAACCTGCTGCCAAGAGAGGTTGTATGCTCTTCCCACACTGGAGACCTTCAAAAAGCAATTGGGCCATTATCTGACTGGGATAGAGTGACTGGTGTTCTGCACTGGCTGTTGGTTGGGCTTGATGGCTTTCCTGGCCCCTACTGACCAAACCATTCTAGGAATCTATGAATATTCCATTGATTGATTATGTGCCTTGCTATATTAGTATTAGCGTTTTCTCTTCGAAAAAGCAATTCAAATAATATTTCTGATCATGAATGTGAGATGGTGAAAGCAATATTTTCAAATGTGAAACATCTGATCTAAGGATAACTACTTTTTGGATAGCAATGTAACATATAGTATCTACTCTAGCAGATCTAAATAGGATTAGTGTAATGATTTAAAGCGTGTGGGGGGTTCCTTTAAATGTTGGTAAATTTCAGAAGGGCAAAGAAGGTAAAAGAGGAGGATGAGTGAGGTGATTGGTTGATGACTGAAGTTGTGTGGGTAAAGCTTGGAAGTGTGTGAGGAGAGAGAGAGAAGGAAGAAAGTTATCAGTCTGTCAGAAGTTAACAGAACTGTGGTCTGTCAGCCGTTTGCAGAATCTGAAGAGGCAGCCTTCTCTTCAGAATCCCAGAGAGACCTGTTGAAGCCATTTAGGACTCATAAAGAAAAAAAAGAAGGAAGTAGAATACTCGGAGAACGTATCAGTGACTAGGGAGAGTCAAAACCTAATATTCTCTAGTATTATAGGGGTGTGAGAGATAGAAGCTGACAGAAATTGAATGCAGGAGAGAAAGGAGGACCTGTATGAAAGTGGTGTTTGTAAAGGGAAAGAGTGACATCCCTCAGTCAGAAGTTATTATACAATGTTCTACTGTCTAAGGAAATAAGTTACTGAACATCTTGAAACCAATACACTTCCTGTACAAATAAAGCTTTATTTTGTTAATGTTAACTCAGTGTCATAGGCTGTTTGTATACCAGAGTCTCTTCATAAGGACCACATGTCCTATGAAGGAGCCTTATAGTTTGGACACAATACTGCAGGAAAAGTTAATAAGACTGGAATTTAATTGCTGGTGACAGTGTTATATACTCAGAGAAAGTGAGAGAAATATCAAGAATTTAAGACACATCTTATCCAAACAAAATATGGGAGATAACTCATGACAATTAGCCACTTTGGTCTTATTACACACCCGAGATTCTATTGTTTTATTCTATTTTAAATGTTTTTTAAAGGCAACTTGAGTGCCAATTTTTGATAGACATGTGGGGTATAAATAAAATGAATAAAACATGTTACCAGGCACCAAAAGACTGGGGGTTTCTCAACCTCCAAAGAGTATCAATATCCAAAGACTAGCAACTTCCAAAGAGTCTTTTCCATCACACTGTGGACAATATTCTTCATCACATTCAGGAAGTTTTCCATGGTTATCTCTAAGGGCTTCTGATTCTTGACAGCTGTGTTTGGTTTGTGTCAAGAGATTTAAAAATATATATTCCCATTTGGCCACATCATAGGAGGTTTCACTGATTTTGCATCATGTGAAAGCAAAGTAGTGAACACAACTTTCATCTTTGGCTACATCATCCACAAAAAAATCCCTCCTCATGCTAATTCAGTAATATAATCCATTATTCCTTAACTTAATTTTTAATTATGTATTGCTGTTTTGCAACTGATTTCATTCCACAATTTTTAGTTTGATACTGCAGCAGATTGCTTTTGAAATTCAGAGTCTCTATAGGCTTATGGCAAAAGCCACACTTGTTATCTTTTACTTGTGCTTTCACAGTTACCTGTTTTAACTATATTACCTGTAAGTGTCAAAAACTCTGTGAGATCCCAAATCCTGCAATTTCATAACTCAGTTTTGTTAATTTTATCTTTTCCTGCTTTGCTGCTAGTTTGATGTTGACGTGGGACCTTAACATTATTATGTGTTATCAAGACATCTCCAGCTTATGGTAACCTCATGAATGAAAGCTTTCCAAACTATCCATGACAGTCCTGTTCACCTCTTGTGAAGTCAAAGTGGTTTCCTTTAAGGAGCCAATACACTTCATATTTGGTCTTCTTTCCCCCCTCCTTCTGCATTCAACTTTCCTTAGCATGATTTCTTCCCCAGGGAGTTTTGCATTCTCATGATATGCCTGAAGTATGACACATGACCATTTGTTTGGATTCCTAGCTCCTACCTTGGAGCTGGGGTTCTGTGCTCAGATGACCTGTCCCCATCACAGCCATTGGGGAAAGAACCATGCTGACTGCTTCTCTGAGACCCTGAAAGCAACCTTGGAAAAGGGGTATGGAGATTTTCCAGGGGATGCAGAGAGGAGTAATTCAGTACTACCAAGATATGATATATGCTGCAGCTATTCAGCCTCCTCCTTCCTACTCTGAAGCATGTAGTAAGGCAGCCACACAGCATAAGACTTTTCAGCAGGTCAGTTTTATGCCCATTTAAACATCTGACATTGTTTTAAATGAATTATTAATTGTTGAACTATTCAATTTATCTTGTAATGTACTAGAATTATTTCTTATCACACAACTGACAACAATCTATATCCATTTCTTGAATTCAAGATGATTTTCCAAAGAATATATTATTTACCGATGTTAAGAGTAAACCTTAATCTAATACCTTTACAAATAATACCTGCACTGAACTAATGCATTATTTATTTCATATGATTATTTATTGGTTAAGAACAATACTAAAGTTAACTGAAGAAAAACAGTTTCTAAACACTTGATATACATAACAATGGCCACATGATGGCATCATTTCTAAAGAAAAAAAAAGGGTCATTTCTACACTTGTTAGGAACTAGTTTGAACTAGGGAGAAAAGAAGAGTTTGTAACTGTAGGATTACCAGCATTTTCTGGCAGAAATATTGCCTACAAAACTTTCCTTCTCATGGCATCTTCCTGCCTACAGCAATGTAAAGATAATTTTAATGAATAATTGTTTCTTAAGTTAAAAAGTAACAGATTTTTATTGCAATGACCTGATTTTTTTTTTAAATTGGCCCTCAAAGTTTGGTTGGTTCCAAAGTCACTTAAAGTGACCATTTTTCCCCTTGTAATATTTATTTCCAAACCACTGCTGAAGAAGGAAACTATGACAGCCTCAATCATCAGTAAAAGTGAGATTTTACATATGCCCCATTTTTAAAGGGCTTTTTTGTGAGAATCTTTGAAGAATTTCAGTATTTTAAGGAATTTGACTCAAAGAGTTCATAGTTTTTGCTGTCTGAGGGAATACAATGAAGTGAAATAAATTAAAATTTCAAACAATATGGAAATAGTATGAATTCCAAATATTGACTACTAAATACTGACTACTAAGTAAACTGTTCTTGAAGATTGTTTGGAATAACTGTTGGCATAAAAGCTGCTCTATAGTTGAAAAAATGGCTTTTAGCTGACTTAGACTGGAAAATTCAACTTGCAAGGGGAATCCTTAACAAAGTTGTCATATTTTGTAGTGTCCTTTATGTTTTTGGTATTCAGTACATCCCTTTGTTTTCAGAATGAAGTTGACTATTTACCTAAACAAATTAATAATACAATTTGGATATGAAAAAGAAGGAATTTATGAAAATCCACTTTCTACAAACTGGAGTGTATCTGTTAAGTATAATTCACAAAGACTTTTATCAAATACTTGAATAAAATTAGTAGTGGTTTCTGTCCTGACAGCATGATTTCTCACTGGGAAACTCAGAAGGTCATGATTAAGTGCACACATCAAGATACCCTTGATCACAATACTATACTCACAATCACGTGGCCCTGTATGCGTGTGCAGGTTTATTGGTGTATGGGATGAATAGATGAAATCTGGACTCAGAGATGGGACAGTTTCAAAGTTCAGGCAGGGAAGGCCCAACTTGGCGCTGCATGCACCCGTCTGCGTAATTTCATTCTCTTCAGACTCCTGTTTTTTAGCTGTCTTGGGTTTCTTCCTGAAATCAGACAAAAAGACCTTTGAAGGAACTACTTGCAAATGCAGGAAAGAACATTTTCAGAATATGCTAAAGACCCCCTCCCCCTTTTTTACTTAAAGGACAAAATCATCTTCTGCATACTTTTTATTTGGAAACATGCCATTCCATGTATTTACACTGCCACTATGGTCTACAAATTATGCAAAAACATATGGAAGACAAAATGCAAAATCTGCTCTACAGCTTTAGGTAATTAAACATGGCATGATAGATACCAGTGAAAGCCATTTACAAGGAAGGACGGACGGATGGATGGACAGAACACATTCATAGATGCACTCATTAAAAAGTCTGAGTGGAAACTTTGCATAGTGTAATATAGGCAACAATTATGTTGTATATTTATGTTTCTTTGTCACATGTGAAAGCTAGCGCCAAGGCCACCCAGTGGGATTTGAGTTTAGATCTCCACAGTCAGTTTCTAACCATCTCTTTATTTACTATGCCTCTCTGCTTTTCAAATTAGATATGGGTAAAATATCTAAGTACACAGATGGTAGTTTTTATATATGAATGGCAAATGCCTACTATTAATCAGATGTATGTTACTGCATTCGCACTCATTATCCAGAACGATCAAACATCCATCCATCCATCCATCCATCCACCCTCAATCATCTTCCTATTATTTAAATTATATCTTGCCTTTCTACTAGCAATGGGGATCAAAGTAGCCAGCAAGAATAAAATACAGATAAAAAGGTTGCATCATTAAAACATATACAAGTTTTAAAAAGATCAACTACAACACATTAGCTAACAGTAAATATAAAATAATGTCCACTATCTAGTTCAGCAAACAAAACTATCAAAAGACTGCCTAAACATGGACAATAAAGATGGAGCTAGGCTTGCTTCCTTTTCAAGGAAATTCCAAAGCTAGGATTAAACATCGAAAAAGACTTCTCTTAAAAATGTTTCAGATTCTTTTGTTCTAAGTTGTGTATAACTTTATAGGTCATAAGTAGGACTTTGAAATATTTATTTATTATTTATTATACTTATATTCCACTTATTTTTATGCAAGGAACTCAAGGTTGCTTACAATCTACCTCCTCTTCCCTATTTTTATCCTCAAAACAGTCCTGTGAGGTAGGTTAGGCTAAGAGTCAGTGCATGGCCCAAAATCACCTAGCGAGCTTGAAGAGACTAGAACATCTACATTACACTTGTTTCACATCACATTTCCTCTGGAAACAGACTGGTAGCCAGTAAAGCTGTTGTAACAAGGTAGTCACATGCTCTTCATAACCAGTCCCAGTGAACAATCTGGCCTTAGCAAACTGGAGCAGCTAAAGTTACTGAATACTTTTCAAAGGCAGCCCAATGTAGAGCATGTTACAGTACTCTAAACAGGTCAGTCTCATCCAATCAAGTCTCTGTGATAAAAGCTAGGTCAGCATGTTGACCTCAGCTGAAGTCCTGGATGGCTGTTGTTTCCCCATTTACCAACTTGGCAGCTGTACCTTCAACACAGGGACTGTCACCTTATTGAGAGAGGCTTTCTGAATTAATCAATAATCCAGGAGCAACCAACACCCTGTTGCACTCCTTTACTCTGCTTTCTCCACCATCTTTCCCTCTGCCATTTGCAGTTATCATAGCTATTCCCTGCTTCCTTCCATCTACCTGCTTCCTTTCAAAACACACCTGTCCAGCTGGCAGACAATAACTTCACAGTTCTGTATACTGATAAGATGTGCAAGAGAGATAGAGTTTTGTTAAACTATGTACAGCCACAAAACATCACTTGTTTCCTCCTCCCCCATAAACCTCTTTTCTGAAGTACTAAAGGAGGTCTTCCAAAGAGTAGAATAGTCAAGTTGGAATCTGCCTACACTGTTACATAACTTGAAGGATGAGTGGGTGGGGACATGTATATTCTGTTACTAAAAACAACTTAGGGTCTAGTCTATTGGAGATATCCAGAACCCTCTGAACTCAGAGGATAGGCATCATATAGAGAGAGGGACGAACATGGAGGCAAAGGTCTGCCCTCCTTCTGTCCTGTAGAACAGCAATGCTTCAGATGGGGAGACACAGAGGCTGAGATGCCACTAGCATACATAATCTCTTAGTTTTGGTCTCCTTTCCTTCTCACCAAACCCACTAAACCCCTTCACCAAGGCAGCCAGCATGGTACTTTCCATGCTGGATAGTCGTGGTGATGGGAATTAAAGTGCAGATTTCTAGTGCCAAAGTCAGAGCAATTTTCCAACGTCAGAGCTGGGAATCCCTGGATCCTACTGAGTGGGGCACAGCATTGTTTTGTTAGACACTTTTAAATAATTATTCCTACTACTGTTATTTATCAACTGAATTATGGGACATCTTAATGCTCAGTCATTCTGATGTTGGTGTAGTTTCCACTTTGACACAGCCACTGCTATTACCAATATTCCTCTCAATAGTGGATTCTATGACAATTCATTTCATTTGAAAAAGGGCTTACATAATCAGTTAAGAATATTTGCTAGTTCTATTCAGATGCTGTCTTAGCTGGCTAGATTGAAAGAGAGAGACCACTGAGCTCCCCTATCTCTCAGCATCTGTCATGAAGGACAATGTCTATAGAGGAAATCCTCTTGTATCAGTGGACACAACTCTCCACACAAGCCAGAAGACACACATACACACCAGGTTGCTGGTTTGTGTGCAGAGCCTCCACATACACAAAGGACTCTTTTCCCCAGATGTCACAATCCATGGTAGAAGATAGCATGCAAAATGCAAGAAAGGGGTGAGCAAGAACACTCTTCCTTGTGTGTTTGATCCACCAGGTAAGAGAACACTACAAAATGTTATTGCCTACATCTCTATGATGGATGGGACAACAGTTCATTATCAACACAATAATTAACCCATTTCTTCCTGAATGAATATAATAGTATAACAATGTCCACGTATCAATTTTTGGACAAGGGTGAGTTCCACAAGTTTAGGTGGTTCCCCAAGAAATGATGCACAAACCATGCTCAGTATGTAATAACTTGAGACTTGTCTTTCTTCAAGGTACATAAAAATCTGTATAATGTAGCATGTAGCATGTCAAATGCTAAACATGAATTGCAACTACTAATACTTTTGAAATAATGTGTGTTTGTGAATGCATGTCTTATAGGACAGTCAAATAACTATTAACATTTTCTTAGAAATCCATGCTGACCATGAAAAAAATTGCTCATCAGTTGAACAGAATTTTTCAAAAAAATTAGCAATAGAATTTGAATGTGGAGAATGCCACCTGAATTCTTTGTAACAGATTGTTAATAGTCCTTTTGTGATACAACAACTGTTGGTAAAGAACAGTGTCTGTGTCTGTGCCAGTTTCACAGACACTCATAGAAAGATACCTGTGACATAACTTCAATGCACCCTTGACTCTAAGTCTAGAAAAGTTACTAGCTTTATACCAAGCAGACTGGAAGAAAAAGAGCAGATCTTTCTTTCCCTTTTATACCAAACTGCTTTGTTTACATGCTGACTTTGAAGAAAAGGGATTGTTCTGCAGCTGCTACAAAAAAGCACTGGGCTGTTGGATGAAGGACAGTGCAAATTATCCTTCCTCAGCCCTCCTGTTTGGTTTTCCATGCTAGCCATGGGGGAAGGAAGGGATTCATCTTCTTCCACAGGAAGCATTGAAACCAAGCAGGCTGGTAGAGGGGGGAACTGAATAATCTATTCTTTCTCTACCAGTTTAAATGCTCACCTAGATGGAATTCCATGCACGCACATTCAAAGAATTCCTTGTTACCTATGATGACAAAATGACTTGTTAAATACGAGGTTGCTGTAGGTCAAAAAAAGCCTCACCCTTCTTTTCTTGTGCCATTTTAAAGTTGTATAAAATTTTGAACTTCAAAGGTGTGTCCTTTAAAAAAACCCAACAACAACCAACCCTTAAAGCTGTGCTTAGCCTTGTGTCAGGGTTCAGGGCACTGGTGGCAGGAAACCAGGAAGATACAGCAGAACTCAGAACTAGGCAGCACAAAAATCGAGAGTAGAGTAGTAAGTTCAGTAACAAGACTACCAAATTGTAGTTAGAGTAGAGGCCAAGGTCAGGAAATGGGAGTACATCACAGAGCAAAACAAGGTGTAGTTACAGCAGGCAAAATGGCAAGACATTAGAACAAGAAGTAGGAGAGAGACTAAGAGAACTGGACTTGTCCAGCCTTGAGAAGAGAAGGCTGAGGGGGTGATGTGATATCCCTCTATAAGTACCTCAAAGGCTGTCACAAAGACAAAGATAAAGATCTCTTCTTGCTGATGCCAGAGTGCAGGACATGGAATAATCAATTCAAGTTGCAACAACCCAGATTCAGGCTGGACATCAGGAAAAGTTTTCTCACTGTCAGAGCAATACAACAGTGGGACCAGCTGCCTAGAGAGGTGGTGGGCTCTCCCACACTAGAGACATTCAGAAAGAAACTGGACAGTCATCTGAGTGGGGAGGTGTAATGTGGTGTCCTGCAACAGCAGGGGGCTGGACTCAATGGCCTTCATGGCCCCTTTCAACTCTATTATTCTATGATTCTATAGGTACATTGGGACAGGATAACCAATCAGAGTTCAAGGAACAAGAAGGTATGGCAGGGAGGACAGGGAAGAACAGGAATAGACAAAGGTTCAACAAGATGCACTCACAGGAACAGACTACATCACACAAAAAACCTGCATTCATGAGGCAGCTTCTGAAGGGAAGAGCCAGTTTTATATAGCTGTCCCTCCCTTGTCAAGGCACTGGTGGCAGCAGCAGAATGTGGGACTAATCCTGCAACTGCTGGGGTTGTTATTCTGGTAGTCGCCTAGCAGATGGAGCACTGTAGTGCTCTGATCCTGACACCTTGCTTCCCAGCACTGTGGTGCATTTATCTCAAAATATTAGGGATGTCCACAAACACACACACACACACACCTTTTTAATTCCTCAGCAAGTCTATACCTATTCACTTTCTATT